AAAAATTAAATTAAATTCTGTTATTTTTCGTTTATTTTTATGTATTTTTAATTTGCAATTACTTTTTTGTAGTTTAATATCAATGAAAATTTTTATATTTAATAATATCATTTGTTTTTTTTTTAACTATAACCAAAATTATCTTATTTATATTCATAAAAAATTATACTTTTTGCATAAATAGAAAAATTTAAAAGTTAAAGGACTACTTTACAAATAAAAAAGTTCACCTCTATTATAGAGGGAAAAAATAGAGTCCCTCTATATTTGGAAGAAAAAATAGCAATCTCTATTTTAGAGGTGAAAATAGAGGTGTGTTAGAGCATAATCTCTATTTTCACCTCTAAAATAGAGGTGGGTTGGAGATACAGTATATAGAAGAAAAAATATATTTACAAAACCGGGCGTCATATTTCATTTAGTTTTTATAAAGGCACAGTATTGTTTTTTTTAATTAATAGGCCCATTACATACCGCAGCAAACGCTGTATACTTGCAGATAAGTCTCTATCTTCTTTGTCAAAATCATATAGAACTGCGATCATCCAAAGTTATCTTTCTCCTAAACCCATTTTTCTCATTTGCTTCTTCCAACTTTCTTATTCTCAACGACTTCTTCGAATCCGAGGTTTGTTAACATATGCTCTGTTTCTCTTGCTTTCTCCTCTGTTTTCATTTTATCTTTGTTTAGTCGAGATTACGATCTAAGCTTCTTTTTCTCAACCTTGCCTTCTGTCTGTAACTTCAATTGAAACTTGCATTCTGAGTCTTTGCATTTGATTACCACTTTAAAATTTTCTTCTTCTCCTCTAACAATCCCCAATTTCGTGAGTCAATAACACAGCTTCTTTGTTGCAGGCTCATGGCTACACCGATATTCAATGCCTCTTGCAGCTTCCCATCGAGCAAAGTAATCGATTGCAAAAGCTATATCGGTCTGAGATCGACGGTGACTAAACCTCGAATTGCTTCTCTTCCAATTGCAACTTGTCAGCGACGCTCTCTTGTCATAAGAGCCAGCGAATCGGGAAATGGACACGCGAAGAAGCTTGGGATGAGCGATGCTGAGTGCGAAGCCGCCGTTGCTGCCGGAAATGTTCCTGAAGCACCTCCGGTTCCGCCTAAACCGGCAGCTCCGGCTGGTACGCCGATAATTCAGCCTCTCGTAAGTACCCAGAATCTCTTTAAATCTCATTGTGAATCTGTTCTTACTCTTACTGCATCGTAACATATGATTCTGCCTTAACCCTTTTGGTTTCTGTTAGAAAAGCTCCTAAAGGTTTGATCTTTGATTGATTTTCCTTCACTCTTGTCTAGTAACTCTCTTTTCTTAAAGTTTGAAGCTTTAAGAGGCTTTTACTGTTTTCTCTTCTGATGTTACTTATGGTTTCAGAATCTAAACCGACGGCCACGCCGTAACCGTGCTTCTCCTACTGTGAGAGCTGCTTTCCAGGAAACTGACATCTCACCTGCAAATTTTGTGTACCCACTTTTCATTCATGAAGGTTAGTGTCGTTTGCATTTTGACTTTAACATCTCTTGTGGGTCTCTCTCTGTTGTTAAGAAACATTGTGTGCGTTTTGGAGACTGGCAGGTGAGGAAGACACGCCTATTGGAGCAATGCCTGGTTGCTACAGACTTGGATGGAGGCATGGCCTAGTACAAGAGGTTGGTTCTGTGTTTTGATTCCCTTTATATGTTGGTTCTTTGAGAGCTGCTATGTTACAAGAAAATGATTTTATTTTTTTCTGATTTTTTTATGTAAATAGGTTGCAAAGGCTCGAGCTGTTGGTGTTAACAGTATTGTGCTGTTCCCTAAGGTTCCCGAGGCTTTGAAGGTTTCACACTTCTCTTCCATTTTCGAACACAATCCCATATTTATACATTGTGCATATGTTCTTGAGCTGTGTATTGAACTCGTTGTTTTGGCTTCCATTTTGTAGAATCCAACAGGGGATGAGGCATACAATGACAACGGTCTTGTGCCTCGAACAATTCGTCTTCTCAAAGACAAATACCCTGATCTTGTATGATTCGTAATCCCGTTTTGTTAGATACACCTGGAGATGAAAATTTGTGTAATCGTGATAAACGTTCTTCTCTTCCGTTAGATAATCTACACTGATGTTGCTCTGGATCCCTACTCATCTGATGGTCATGATGGTATAGTCAGAGAGGATGGTAAGTATTTTCTTGCCCAACTTCCTTTTGTCACGTTTTAACCGGAGCTGTGATACATAAATCATCTCTGTAGGCGTAATAATGAATGATGAGACGGTACACCAGCTGTGTAAGCAAGCTGTTTCCCAGGTAAACCTGTAGAAACTTTTTTTTTGATATCAAATAGCCAAAATGATTTAACTTTTTGTCTTTTATTTGCTTATTGGAAATGATCACTCTCTTTCTCTTTCTCTCTAGGCCCGAGCTGGAGCGGATGTTGTTAGTCCGAGTGACATGATGGATGGTCGTGTAGGCGCAATCCGTGCAGCTCTTGATGCTGAAGGCTTTCAAAATGTCTCCATCATGTCTTACACAGCAAAGTAAACCATATAACTTTGACCTCTATTGCTTTTCCGGAAACATATTTCTTGTTTGTTCTGTCTAATTTTGTGTATGAATCTTCTGCTAACAGGTACGCAAGTTCGTTTTACGGTCCTTTCCGTGAAGCCCTGGACTCAAATCCACGTTTTGGAGATAAGAAAACGTAAGACAACATTAACCCACATGGATAGTGAATATGTTTTGTTCCTGTTGCTAAACCTTTGTAGTTACAAACTGACTTTTGGTTGGTGAACAAAAGTTATCAGATGAATCCAGCAAATTACAGAGAGGCTCTGATTGAGGCACGTGAAGACGAGGCTGAAGGAGCCGACATTCTCTTGGTAAAAGCCCTTTATCATCCTTAAAAGTATACAACATTTCTAGAGTTTGTTGACCAACTTGAGAGTGGTTTGGTGACAGGTGAAGCCAGGTCTGCCATATTTGGACATCATTAGGCTTCTCAGGGACAAATCTCCATTGCCAATTGCTGCATACCAAGTACGTGCTTTCATGTGTACTCTTTTTCGAAACAACATTCTGAAGTTTTGTTTGATCTTTAATCTCGCCATGAATTATTCAGGTTTCTGGAGAGTACTCGATGATCAAAGCAGGGGGAGTCCTGAAGATGATCGATGAGGAGAAAGTGATGATGGAGTCACTCATGTGCTTACGCAGAGCTGGTGCTGACATTATCCTTACCTACTTTGCTCTTCAGGCTGCTACTTGCTTATGCGGCGAGAAACGGTAGAAGAAAGAGACAGAGAGTTTTACTGTTTTTAACCATTTGAGACAATCGCGATTTTTGTGATCCCAAACCAAGTTGTTTGGTATCGTGCATATGTGCTCGTGTGAACGTGTTGTCTAAATATGTATTATGATCATATGATATTTGGAGGCCATTTGGTTCTTGTAGTTTTCGCTTGATATTTAGCAAAGCAATTATTTGGTTCTTGATAATTGTCAGATAAAATATGAATACAGTTAGAAGTTACAACAATTTGTAGATTTTAATGTTGACAAAATCAATTCAAATGGATATATGAAAGTAGATCAATTGTTTTGATAAAATGTTGTCACACGTCATGGATTTCTATACCCTCTACTCTAGAAATCTTAAGGTTGTAAACTAGATATTATCCTGCGCCCACATGAAAAAATTATTTATTTTAATTTCATTTTGTAATATAATTTATATTTTTTATAGATATAATATTTCAAATAAGTGATACATTTATTTTTGGGATTAGAGAAAATTTATTTTTTATATTTTTTTTAATAAATTTGATTACGATTCTAAAAAAATATAATTTTAACCTATCTGTTCTATTAATCCGAAAATGAATACATTCTATAAAACATAATTCTAACATGTTTCTTTATATGACCATATTATATAAAGATTTCCTAATTTTAAATATTTAAATTTTTAGACTTATTAATTATTAAAAGAACTATATAATAACATATTGTTTCTCATTTTTTATTATGAAAATTTTATTTAAATTTAAATATTTTTAAACATAATATCTTATTTACTATTTTATAAAGATAATAACAACTGACTTTTGTAATTTTTATAATTAAAATCTAATCTGAAATTAAATTTTGAATTTTCAAAATTATTTTAAATATAAATTTATATTTTTATTATTTTTCAGAAATAATTAAAATAGGAAAATCAAACTAAAAATTTGTTTGACAACAAAAATAGTAGATATCCAGAAGTAGAATAATAAAAAACCAAAAAAATCTGTTTGGACACAAAACTTGTTTCTAGTTTAAAAGAGAAGAACTATATTCTATTTGCGCCCGCATGAAAATTATTTTTTAAACAAATTTTGTAATGTAGTTTATGTTTTTTATAGATATAATTTTTTTTAAAGAGACAAAGATTTATTTTTATGTTTAGATTTAATTTGTTATTTAAATTTTTTGTTTCTACTATTAAATATGACTACAATTATAAAAATATAATTCTAATTCGTTTATTTTATTAAATTATTAATCTGAAAAAATTATAATTATAAAAATATATTTTAATCCATCCATTCATATTATCATCTGTTATTATGAAAATATTATTTAAATTTAAATAAATTATTTAAATTAAACTTGTCATATTTTTTTTGTAAGGATATATTAAATAACTTTTTCAATATAAATAAAATTTGAATTTTCGGAATAATTTTTAAAATATAAATTAAAATACCGTTTTTATGAAAATTGTATTAAATTAAGTTGTTTGGCAATAAAATAATAGTTATCTAAAAACAGAATAATCTAAAATGAAGGAAATCATGTTTGGACACAAAAAATGTTTTTGTTTTAATAGAATAGATTTTACCTACAAATTCTGAAAATAATTTCTTTTGAGATTTTCTTCTTTGACCATGACTTAAAAAAAAAAATTAGACAAAAAAAACGTGTACATATAGTCAAAGATTGGGGCCTGGTCCAATGGGCTCATCAGGCTCAGCACTTACGTATGCTGAATTTAGGGTTTTTTTTCTTTGTTTCACCTATAAAAAGAACATTACGCGTCTCCTGGATAATTTCTAGGGTTTGTAAGAAAATCACCGAACAGATTCAACGAAATGGGGCGGAGTAAGTCCATCGTCTCTTCTCACCTACTATCTCAATTTGAATTAGCTGAATCGATTCCTTATTGATAGATTGATCCTTGTTTTCAATCGTGTTTTTGCTAAATCTCTGTGTTTCATATGAAATCGCTAGGTTCTGATTAGTTTTGAGATTTCGAATTTGTCCAATCTAGGGTTTTAGATTTGTTGCCATTGGATTGAACAAGCCGAATCTTAAACTTATGGTGTCAAATGTATGATTTCGTATATCTTAGGACCAGCGAGATGTTACCGTCAGATCAAGGGAAAGCCCTACCCGAAATCCAGATACTGCCGTGGTGTTCCAGATCCAAAGATTAGGATCTACGATGTTGGTATGAAGAAGAAAGGTGTCGACGAGTTCCCTTTCTGTGTCCATTTGGTGTCGTGGGAGAAGGAGAACGTGTCGAGCGAGGCTCTCGAGGCAGCTCGTATCGCCTGCAACAAGTACATGGTGAAATCAGCTGGAAAAGATGCTTTCCATCTCAGGATTAGGGTTCATCCATTCCATGTCCTCCGTATCAACAAGATGCTTTCGTGTGCTGGAGCTGATAGGCTTCAGACTGGTATGAGAGGTGCTTTTGGTAAGGCTCTTGGTACTTGTGCCAGAGTCGCGATTGGACAGGTGCTTTTGTCTGTGAGGTGCAAGGATAACCATGGAACTCATGCTCAGGAAGCTCTTCGTAGAGCTAAGTTCAAGTTCCCTGGTCGTCAAAAGATCATTGTTAGCAGGAAATGGTTAGTTTTTTGATTGATTTCTCTCTCTTTTTTTCGATTTTCTCTCTTATGTGTTTTGAGTTTATCGATAGCTGAAACGTTTTGATGTGTTTCAGGGGATTCACCAAGTTTAACCGTGCTGATTACACTAAGCTAAGACAGTCAAAGAGGATTGTTCCTGATGGTGTCAATGCTAAGGTTTGTTTTTTTGTTAATTCCCTGTGTGTATCTTTGTCTGATTTCTTTCCAAACTATTTGAGCTTAATGTTTGTGTTCTTTGTGTGTTGCAGTTTCTATCGAACCATGGCCCATTGGCTAACCGTCAGCCTGGAAGTGCTTTCATATCAGCCACCAGCGAATAAGAAAGCAGATGATTTGTGGTTGTAGAACCGAGAATCTAGTCTCTGAAGTTTATCGTTTTGTTTTTGTTGTAACAGTTGAAAACAAGGATCCTCGTATGATTTCATTTTGCTTGGACAATTATTTTAATTTCAGTTTCGATGTTTTTATATCTACCATGTTTGGTTTATCCTTTTGCTCTGCTCATTTCTCTGGAGTTATATACACGTTCTCAGGATTGATCTTGATCCAAAGGTTAAAAATACTCATAACATTGTTTGCGTCGATGATAATGTGAGTGGGTCAGATGAAACGAGATATGATATCAAACTTGTAAGAATAGATGATAATGAGAATTGGATTTTTGCGAAACGATATTCTATCTAAAAGCAATGAGAATGTAAATGTTACAAAGCCCAAAGGCCTAATAGCTAATTAGCCCATACAAATAAAGTAAGTGAAACAAGTGATGAAGCCCAAAAGCAATGAGTAAGAGTAACGAAGTTTCCTCTATCGTTACTTACAAATGATTTATCAAACTAGGTTCGGCGAAGGAGAAGTGTAACCAGATCAGCGAAGATCAGTGAAGAGAAGATTTTTTTTTTTTGTTTCAGAGTTGTCAGAGTTTTCCATAATCCAAGGCTTCAGATTTGAGAGGGAGCAGCGATAGTCATGAACCACGATTGGAGCATGGTGGAAGTTTGCCGAGGCTGAGAGAAACGAAGACTGGCGATTCTGTACCTGATAAGGAGATCAATCTCTTTGATCAAAGTTTCAGTAGATTTTAAATCTCCTTCATCGACTCGTCGTTTCCGTCATCGAGCCGTTTTAGCCATCACCGGTGTGTCTCGATCACCGAACGTCGTTTTCAGAGATCAACAACTACAATTGGTAAGTCTTTCTTTTAGATTTCCACCATACTTTTGTTTGGATTAGATGGTTATAGTATGGTGACTAGATTTGAAGAAATCGATCTTTGTAAAGTTACATACTTACATACAATCCGGAATGAAAATCATGTGTTGGCTTTTAGTTTCAGAAAGAAAAAACAAAGTTGTAATGTAGATTAGGTGTTCGACGAAATGTCTGACCGAAATATTGGCTTTTGGTTTTAAAAAAATACTAAATATACAATGTAGATTAGGTGCTCGACGAAATGTCTAACCGAAATATTTTTCGAGTAGTTTTATTAGTTATTAATCAAGCAATTGATACTATGCTTATCATCATATCTCATTGTATGCGTTTCAATGGTGTTTAGATCAATTCAATAGATAGATAGACAAAGTGTCTGGTTGGCTAATAAAACTTTAACATATGATTATCAATTTTATAAGTTCGATTGAAAGAAAAATTGATCCCTTGAGAGTTGAGACAGAAATGGATCAAGTAACAATCGAAATTTTCTTTGACGATATTATTATATGGGCTATTTTGGGCCTGACCCTTAAGCATGACAATGCTGAGAGACGAGTAAGCTCTAAGCAATTGACCCTTCTAGTGTTTGACTTTTCAGCATCAAACCTCTCAGTGTCTGAATTGAACAATATAAATCAATCGAGAGACGGTGAGACGCGAATCCCAAGTTTCGATATGAGTACAGGTGCGTCTCTTTCTCTTCTCAATTTTTTTTTAATTTGTTCTTGTTTCGATTTCTCTTGAGTTGAAGAAGTGAAGAGGATTAATATACCGTTGGGTTCGCCTTAAATCAGACTTACTGGTTTTTAGGTATCTGTCAATACTAGATTTATGAGAGAGTTCTTGGGCAGTTTCTTATTGGTTTACCTTTTAGAACCAGTCACTGCTAATTGATGATCATTTGCAGTTGTATGTACTGATTAGTTCTGGTTTTTAATCTGCGGTTATGTACTCTTGAATTCAAGAAAACTGTGTTTAGTTTGCTTATAAAGCTTAGAGCCTTCAATTAAAAACCCTAAACCCTGGATTAATGGTTTAGTTTCCGCACCTCTGTTTTATCTTGTTTTGGGTTTGATCTTATTCTCTATTGTTCCCACGTGGGTGGAGTTTCAAGAAAATCATTTTGCACCAAATGAAAATCCACCTCTAGACGTAATGCTGTGAAAAAGAGAGATACATGGGGCCTGTTCGTTAAGTCGCCGCTGCGATTAAGTTATGCGGCAATAAAAATAGACACCGAAGGAAGCAAACTCAACGGAAGTGAAAAGAAATGATGACGCTGCGTTTACTTGTTTACTTTGATCAATGTTGATGGTGTTGCCGGTGGACGCTGTAAAAATCAGCGACTTCCTGCAGTCACCTTTTTAAGTTTTTAACGGTTGTTAGATGAAGTTGTCGCGCGTCTCCAAAATTCATGTGTCGCTGACGTCGATCAAACGAACAGGCCTATGTTTTATTGATCAATGTCTATTAACAATATTACATTCTATAGCTTGATTTGACTCGGCTGTTATTCTGTGGCAGGTGGAGCATTTGGAGGAAACAGAGGATTAAGACCGATACCACCAGAAAAGGGCATTTTTCCTTTGGATCACTTACATGAATGTGATGCGGTATTCTCCAACAATGGTTTTTTTTTTTGGGCTTGATGTAGATGTTTGGTTATCTTTTACTTATTCACTTAGCATTTTCTTGGTTGTTTTCAGGAGAAGAAAGAATATCTTGGCTGTCTCAAGTCTTCAGCTCACAAATCTGAGCAATGTAGACATTTATCCAAGAAATATCTCCAGTGTCGAATGGCCAAGTGAGTCCTTTAACCCTCTGTGACCATCATAGTTCTCTCAAGTTCTCGTTCCCTTATGGGTTTGTTCAAGGAACATGTGATGAAGTTAGATCATGAGACCAATTTATTATGCAGGAACTTGATGGCAAAGCAGGATATGTCTGAACTTGGATTTAGTGGTGTTAAAGAATTGGATTCCGCTGGCGAAAAGAATAAAGAGAGTATCGGACATTGAAGGTGGACACGCTTAACTTTGAGCCTCTTTTCGTAGAATATTGATTAACATTTGATTCACTTGAGATAGCATTTGTCAGAAAAGTTTTTCTTCTAATCCAACTACTCACAAACTCAAACTCTATATGCTTCAAATCGTTATATATGTATTCCTGTGTAAATTACAGCATTAAACAATTAAAGCATCATATCTTCTTCTATGCAGGAAAAAAAAAATAAGTTATTTTATTTCGTTTTATTTCGTATATTTTTAAATAAATAACATGGATTTTTGCATGTTTTTTTTGACAATTATTACATTTTGATATAACAAAAAGATTTTGTATCAATGTTTAATAATATTATGACCAAGAGACCGAGTTTGCCTGAGCCCAAATGGTCGATTCAGAAATCTTAAAGTATCAAGAAGCGCATCAAGAAACCAATTACATTTACTGTCTATAGGGCAGGACCTTACCACAGGCTTGATGCAAAGAATGCGCTGATAGGTTATTACACATCTTCCGTAGAAAAGAAAGGAAAAGAAAAAAAAAATACGTTATTTCAGTTTTGTAAGACAGTTAAGTCAATTTTCAAATTGTTGTACATTGAACTTTTTTATAATCGCATATACGACACCTTGAAAACGCTCTAACACCTTGAAGACGAGCACGGTGTAAGGGATTATAACACGAGCATAATTTGAAACAATTTTTGTATTGCAATAAAGTTTCACGTTACAAATATCATTAAACCAAAAAGAAAAAACGATCTGCTTATTCTATAGATTGTTGGTACTAACCTAAAAGTCTCACTATAAAATAATCAGTAAAAAAAACATAAAATATGTGATACATGATAATAAAAATAGTTAAGGATTACAAAGGCATAATCTTATTATTGCAGCAGGAGATAGGACAAAACACTACCCAAAGGATGATGATTACGCACACCACAGCGCAAAACAATAGTATGCTGCCGATGATTACGTGGCTAGGCTCCATACCGATTCTTCACCACACCAAAATTTATTCTTTCTAACTTTTTTTCTTTAGGGTTCTGATGTCGGGTGCAAATGTATATTTATAATGTAGATGTCTCGTCAACAATAAAGTTAAAGTTTACATTTCTGTAATAAATTGATAATATTTGTAAGTTTTACATTTTATCATTGGAACATTAAGAAAAAAAATTGGAAAATTTTACATTTAGTCATTAAAGAGCACAATAACTAGTATATTTATAAATTATAATGTCTTGTGCAAATGTATATTTATAATATACATGTCTCATCAACATTAAAGTTGAAGTTTACATTTCTGTAATAAATCGATGATATTTGTAAGTTTTACATTTTATCATTAAGGAACATTAGCAAAGAAAATTGGAAAATTTTACATTTAGTCATTAAAGAGCACAATAACTAGTATATTTATAAATTATAATGTATTGTGCAATGTATATTTATAATATATACATGTATCGTCAACATAAAAGTTAGAATTTATATTCTATAAATAAATCGGTGAAATTTGTAAGGTTTACATTTTTTCATAAAGGAACATTAACAAAGAATAATTGAAAATTTTACGTATACTCATTAAGAGCACAATAACTGGAAATATTGGAAATCTCAAGTTTCCATATGAGTACAGGTGCATCTCTTCTCTTCTTCTCGTCTTGTTTCTCGTTTCGATTTCTGTGAATATAAGGTTTGGTCCGCTTAAAATTGAAAAAATTCGAGTTTTATGTTACTGTCAACACTAGATCTATGAAATATCTTAGCAATTCATAATTGCATTAGCTTCCTCTTTTTATTTTTACCAATCTGATTGATTATCATTTGCATTTTTTGTATGGGTTGGTCCTTAGGTTAGTCTACGGCTCTATATTGTTGAACTGTTTTGAGTTTGCTTATAAAACAAAAAAGACTTTTTAGTCAAACCCAAAATCCTAGGTTGATGGTTTAGACCATCTGTATCGGCCGTTTTAAAAATGAAGTTCATGAGTTTTTTGATTAAAAATAAATGAATAAAGCCCAATATTCATCAAACCATGTCTTAATTTAGAGTTTTTAAACAGTTTTAAGAGGGGTTCATGCATAAGTGTTCAAATTTGATTTGTTGGGCTTGGGAGAAAAAAAACTTCTCCAACTTTTCTCTTTTTCTCTCTCTTCTTTCTTCTCTTCTTTGATTTTTTCTTTTTTTTTTATTTTCTCTTTCTTCTCAAAATTTTTTTAATAATAAAATATTTAAGGTAAACCTTTCATAGATTCACCGTTAACCATTACTGATGCTCTTATATCTTTCTCTTAGATCTGATCAATAGTAGCTTATTCACAAATGTAGAATAATTGAGGAAGAGGATGGCGGACATGATGCGATCTTTTGTTTTCAATTTTGTTATTTATAACTTTTTTGATGATATAGCTCCAAAATAAAGAGAAGCTAAAACAATAAAATGATTACTGTTGCAATAATGTTTAATTTCAACTATGTAATCAAGCGAGCATAATCCAGCTGAATTTCTTTGGTTACAACGCAACTATAACCAATGACAAGAAGACAGAAATGTATATATGCAAACAATGTATTTTTTAGATGTAACTTAATAACTATGCTTTTGTCGGTAGTTCATTTGATTGAAGCTAGGATTTTTTGGCTAGACATCGTTGGTATCCAAGTTTAGATTCTTCACATATAAAGCGAAGACCTGCTCCACAAAATTTTGTGGTCGAAGTGTGCAAATAAACCAATCTATTCACTTAAAAGAGAATTACTTTGGTAGTCAATTTATGTATCATAAATATTAATAACAGTATATAATGAATAATATATCGACAATGAATAGGAAATAGTATATGTGTTGTGAATTAGAATTGATATAAATGACCTGAAGCAAACATTAAAAATGATTATCTTTGCGCTTGGGGCGTATATTGCTGGTTGAAAACTATTGTTGTAATTCACACAAAATACTCTGTTTTTGTTCTGTTTTTCATTTGGTGTTTTGTAAGTTTGAGAGCATAAAATCTTAACTTGTTTTTCATTTCATTCTCTCATACATAATACAAAGACACTCTTGCACTATATAAAACTCTCATACACCAATTCTCTGATCTTCTCCTTACCTCTAAAAAGCAACGACTATTCTTCTTAGACTCTAGACAAAAGACTACTACTATAACACACTGTTTCAACAACTCTCTTACACAAGTAACTACTCTCTTTTCATTTGAATCTTTTTAGTTTGGTTTGAGTCCAAAATGACACCTTTACTCAACACTCCCTCTTGTCATTTTGTCCCTCAAACCAAGCTTACTTCGAATCCTTTCAAACGCATGAACCGCCAATGCTTTCGTGAAGGTGTCTGCCATTTGATATTCACCTCTGCAGTATCTGAGTTGAATGTCACCATTTCTTTCATAGTCTCTCACAACGTGATATTTTATCTGTATATGCTTTGTTCTTCGGTGCTGAACTGGGTTTTTCCCAATGGCTATAGCTGATTGACTGTCACAATAAATAGGCACTCCCTCTTGAGAGAAAAACCTTAAGTCTTCAAGTAAACGCCTTAGCCACAGAGCTTGATTTGCAGCAGCACACAATGCCATGTACTCTGCCTCAGCAGTTGATTGAGCAACCGTATCCTGTTTAGTTGTTTGCCATGTAAAGATGCCTGATCCGATGCTAAAACAGTAGCCAGTTGTTGATTTCATATCTTCTTTGCATCCTCCCCAATCACTGTCACAGTATCCTATCAGTTTTGGTTCAGCGACTGCTTTAAAGAACAAACCAGTACTGACCGTTCCTCTAATGTATCTGAGCACTCTCTTAGCCTCCTTAAGATGTATGTTTCTTGGTTCTTTTAAGTATCTGGACAAGTAGGAAGCAGAGAACATCAAATCAGGTCGAGTTGCTGTTAAGTATAGTAAACCTCCCACTAAACTTCTGTAGACTCTACTATCCGCAAGTTCTTCATCTTCCTTGTCCTGATATCGATGTTGAGGGGAGAGAGGTGTGGACATAGTCCTGCAATTCTCCATGTTGAACTTCTGCAGTAGCTTCTTTGCATATCCTTCTTGTGACAAGGATATTCCTTCGTTGCTTTGTACAATCTCCATTCCTAAAAAGTAGTTCAGCAAACCCAAGTCAGACATCTCAAATTCATTTTTCATGGCTGTCTTGAACTCATTTACCAAGCTCTCATCATCACCGGTGACTATCAGGTCATCTACATAGATGCATACCACAAGGACCTTTCCATCAGTCTCTTTGGTGTACAAAGCATGATCATTCTCGCTTCTTTTGAAGTTTTCTTTCTGAAAGAAATCATCTATTCTGCTGTACCACGCTCTTGGGGCCTGCTTTAGGCCATAGAGAGCTTTGTGTAGACGAAGGACATAGTCTTCTTTTCCAGTTGCTTCGAATCCAAGGGGTTGCTCAGCATATATTTCTTCATCTAACTTTCCATTGAGAAATGCAGACTTGACATCAAGTTGGAACAATTTCCATCGGTTTTGAGCAGCAACAGCTAGAAGTAACCTGATTGTTTCGTGTCTTGACACTGGAGCAAAGGTTTCTAGATAGTCTACGCCATGTTGCTGAGTGAATCATTTGGCAACAAGTCTAGCTTTGTGCCTCACCACATCTCCTTTTGAATCTGTTTTCAACCGATATATCCACTTCACTCCAACTACATTTTTGTTTGCAGGTCTTTCAACGAGTTCCCATGTGTTATTCTTTTCTATCATTTGAATTTATTCCTTCATAGCTTCTGTCCATTCAGAATGTTTAGCCGCTTCTTCAAACAGAGCAGGTTCTTCGATACCACTGTAACAACCTTCGGTTATTGCAGAATACTCAACATCTGCATAAGGGGCAGTGAGTAAGATGTCTGCAATGGACCGGGTTTTTCTGTTGGGTGGACTTGTGCTGTCTCTCTGGATTTTGGTGCCTCTTGTTGGCTCGGTGATGGGGGAAGTGTGATCTTTTGGATGATCGTTGCGGTTTGATTCTGACTCTTCTTCGTTCCTTGTATATGTTTCAATCAGGACACTGCACTCTTTTACAACTTCCTTTTTACTCCAGTCCCATTTGCTGTCTTCATTGAATATGACATCTCTAGAGATGTCAATTCTCTCTTCTTCGAGCAAGTAGACTCTGTAACCTTTTGTTTTGGAGCTATATCCAACAAATATTCCCTTTTTAGATTTGTCATC